GGTTTTCATACACACACACACACACACACACACATATATATATACACATCTGTGAGTGTATATAGGGGGGTTTTTGATCTGTTACATATATATATATATATGATCTGTTTTTTTTTCTTCATCTGTTTTTCCCATACAGATCTGCCTAGTACTTCAATTTCTATCCTTTAAACTTTACATTATACATTAGCTTAGCATACATATCCTTTCTATTTATTTATTTTAAATATATATATATATATATATGAGTTGATCTTTTATTGAGTTTTTGATCTGTTACATATATATATATGATCTGGTTTTTTTCTTGATCTGTTAAATAAATATATATATAATTGATCTTGGGAAATATAAATAAATATATATATATATATATATCTGTTAAATATATCATTCCCTTTTTGATTTATGGGGATGCAATGTCATCTTGGTTAAGCTATCTTGTGATTCAGAGTGTGTTTTTTTGGTATTGAAGATCGATTTTTTTGTTGTTAGGCTTTCGGTGAAGAGAGGTGCTCCGAGGTAAGCAACCAATGCTTGGAAAATGACTCTTACGTTTTCAGTTGGGAATTATCCCGTGATGGATAGAATTATTTGGTATATTCACTGATACAGCTTTCTTGCAATTGTCATTTTTTATAATATACTTAATTAAGATGCAGTGAATTTGTTTCATAAGCACTGTGTTTCATTTGTAGTAAATATCCAAGGCAAATTTTCATAAGTTTTACCTTGTTTCATTTGTTTCATAAGCACTGTGTTTCTTGTGATTCAAATTTTCATAAGTCTAACTTAAGTTCATATGGATGCTGAGCATTGGCATTGTTTAGTTCATTTTATATGGGTGCTACACATGATTGCAATCCTTTATTTTTATTTTGGTTTTGTTTTGTTCTCTCCAGCATGACATATATATATATATATATATAAGAGACCTGAAGACATTTTTTTTATCTATGCTATTTCAGGGAAAAGTTCGGGCTTCCAGATATCCTAAAATCCAAACATGAGGAAAATGAAGCCTACATATCTGAATTAGAGGTTAGGTTCTTGATCTGATAATTATTAATTATTACATCAAGGTTATTATTTGTACCACCATTGCTCACTGTTTATTTAAGTTCCCAAACTGCTTTTACTTGCTTTCATATAGCATGCATTTGAGACCTCCTTGATTTTGTAGGTGATTATTTATTTGTTTATATAGAAGTTAGCGATTTTATGGAAGTTTGATTAAATCGACTATTTGTTTAGGTTCCGTTTGGGAAGAAAAAAGCCAGGCTTTTTTGGCTAAAATAGCCACAAAAAACAAAATAGGCTATTTTAGCCACAAAAAACAAAATATCAAATCCAACCCATAATCATTACAATACTCTCTCACAAAAAAAGCCAAAAAAGTTAAAAAGCCAAAAAGCCCTTCCCAAACCAGGCTAAAATAGCCAAAAAGCCAACCTACTTCCCAAACGGAGGCTTAGTGTTGGTAACTTAATTCTCATTTGTTCCCCTCTTATGTGTCTATATACACACATATATGTATGAATATTAACATTTTTGAGTTCTATGTTGATGTGTAATAATAATGCAACCTTTGAAGTGCTGATGCTTATGATGGGTTCTCACTAGAGGACTTTGTTCAAATATGTTTACTGTATGTGTTTCATTTTCAAAGATCAAAGATAATGGGTACAAAGTTCTACCCATCAACTATAAATATAGAGTAGTTGCACTCCAATTCAACTCCTTCATACTTATCAAGTTATCACTCAATATCAAAGCAGTTAAGTCTTTCCTATGGGCTAGGCCTAGGATGAGATTTGGGTGAAAACAATTAATAGACTTTCAATGAGCAGAATGTATACAATGGGAACCTTTTTTATGTACAGAAATTAATGTGATATGTCATGCCATAATTGAGATTAATTAAATTGAGGACATTAATTAAGACCTTTTACATACTTTTTTATGTATACGATGGGAACCTTTTAAATAAATATTTCCTTTACAAAATTTTCCATTGATAATTTGATAGTATTGCAAAATGTTATATTTCTTTCCTCAAATTATTTAGGCCATATGTATTATTTGAGCTTCCTATAAAATCCTAATATTTGCACCTTTCAAGCACAAATGCTCCCACACCCTCTGACTTCTCCGGGTGAACATACTTACTCCCTCTTCATGCTTTCAAAAGATGAGAAAAAATTGAGCGTGGAACCATTTTTTGGTCCTTTAAATCTTGCATCAGAAACTTCAATCTTTTAATTCATATCATCATGTTTCCATTCCAGAAAATTTCTGCTGAACTGTGCATGTACTGAATCTTCTAGTATGGCTTACCTTTTATTGTGCATTTGCATGCTTTGGCCTATATTTCAATTATTTCATTATGTATGAATATTTCAATTATTTCAATTCAAATACGTCTCTGATACATGTGTGAGTTCCTTTGAACCAGCTATTTATTCGTGAGTCTCTGGTATGCACTTGAATGACAGAACAACAGGTTATGCATTTATGCAGTTTGCTTACCCGTATGGCAAGTATAAGCAACAAGCTTTCATGGTGACAAATAGAACAACATTTGTTACGAGAATAATATTTTAAATATGCGTTTGAATGAATTCATATATAATGACAAGTCCCACTCAATTTTGCCTTTTAACTGTTGACAGAATGGGTGTTCTCTTCTTTTTTTAATTAGATAATATGATGAGGAATGTTGGACTGAATTTCTGGGCAGCCCCGTTTCTCTCAATCTGAGCCCTAATTTCAATGTCATCTTGTGAATTAATTTGAGCAGGGTTTTTAATAACAATGAACTCAGTGGCAAGATTCCTTCAACCAAAAGGACTACTGCAGACTTTAGAGATATTGTGAGTATCTCTATCACATACCCAATTAAAATCATAATAAGATGCTAGCTGTGAATACCCATTAAATTTTTTGAATTGAGTATACAGTGTTGGCAATGGATTTTCCTGGATATGGACTCATTGGTGGCCCTATCCTAATTTCAATCTCATTGTTTTTCGTTCTTGTAGTGACATGCCTGTTAACAAAGCACATACTTTTATGTACCATTGAGTGTAGTTAATCCTAATATGATCTATGTTTGTGCATTTATATCATTGATCTATAGACCTTATTCAAGTTTTTTTGTCAGTTTGTGATTCTTAGTACCATTCTACTTGGTAGCTGCTAGAAATTGTTCTTATTTGTATTTTACTTGAGCATTTGTTTAATTTTTTTTAAAGTCTATGTTCTTTATTGATCGTTTCATGGCAAAAGCATTACAATGTATGTATGAGTCTATTTCCTGTTACCCTCTTGCTATCAGTTTCATTTTTGTAATATTTTTCAACCATAGATTTACTTATTTGTTTTTATTCCTTGAAATGCTCAAATTTTGATAAATGAGATATCTATCTTTTTCTGGCATTCTTAAAGATTAGTTTTAGTTGATGATTGTTGCATTGCTTTTCAATCAACATTCTACTTGGTTGAAATTGCCCCTTTTTTTTCCAGCATAAATGGACTTTTCATGTGTGGGGAATTTCGTACAGCATTCATCTGTGTAGTAGTTTCAATTTTGAAGGTAATCGCTGCCAGATATTTGGGTTTATGTTTCTTTCTTCTTCTCAATAGTATTTTCTTTTATTTTTTTTTCAAGTAAATGACATTTCAAAATATATGTCACAATAAAGTGATTTGCCTCTCAGTATTAAGATTATTATTATTGTTCGGAAGAAGAAGTCATGACTATTGCTGAAACAAGTGGATCTCCAACTAGGCTTCAGGTTTGTGGGTCGAACTTTGTTAATTTCAATGGTTTACACTTCCAAGAGTTACATTTATTATAATTCAGAACATTGATTTTTGTTCTTATTTATGATATTTCAGGGGAAGTATGGTGCAATGGTAGTATGTTGGATTCTAGGACTTGGGTCTCTTGTCTCTTGGAACAGCATGTTGACAGTAGGAGATTACTACTATACCTTGTTCCCGGTAAGTAACCCCTTGTTAATATCCAAATTTCCACCCTTTTTCCATTATTAAACATCACTTTTATGATTGCTAATTACAAAGTTACTTAGTCTGATCTTTTTGTTTCTTCAAATCCTCTCTTGAGATCCTATGGATGTGACAGTTGGGCATTTGGGATGACGGGAGTGCTATGAGTTTCATTGATAAAATGGGACAAAGTTCTTCCAAGAAGATGGAGATTACCAACACAAGAAGCTGCCTGTGATTAATGTCCAAAACAAATGTATTGCTAGCATTCCTTTTAAAAATTTCTTGATTTACATCTCCTTAGAGTAGTTGATATGTCAGGGATTCTTACATACAATGGGCATATATAAAGGACTTTCCCTAAGGATTTTCTTCTTTGATGTTTACACACAGGTTATATCAGGAAAAGACCAAGAACAGTTTGGTTTTCCTGATATCTTTTACCAGAATGTTGATCATTTTGGGTGGGGAATGCATTATTGTCCCATCAGCTGCCTATTCCTTTTGATCGATCACAGGAGTTGAAATCAATCCAGCTGCTCTGTAAATTTCTGCAGATGGTGTAAAGAGGGAAAAGCTTCTTAAGATCAGTTTTTCCTTGCAGATGGTACTAATGCTACAAAATTGATTCATCTATATTTCAAATTTAATTTTTCATCACATGCCAGCTTCTTTATCATTCTAAACTATAGCCACCTTACAAGCTCAGAAGATTTAGATGCTGATCTCAAAATTGTTTATACTTTCATAAATAATTGAATTGTTAGAAGTGTTATACATTGTGAATATGACTTATCAATGTTTTTGGAAGAACATTGATCTAGGGTTCAAGTCTCTGCGAAATATGTATTATTCATTCTTTGAAACATGGCGAAACGATGCAACATGTAGTACTCAATTTCTTAGAATTCTACTTCCTGATTGATTGCTAGTTTCCATTAAAAAGACAATATTGGAGTGATGAGTTGATAGTCTCTTGCAAGAACTGAACTGTCAAGGGTCGCCCCACTCGTTGACAGTACTAAGGGAGGATCAGCATGATGTGTGTGGCTGTTTTGGGCCAGTCACCACTGCCCTTTCATTATTCTCTTCATCCTTCATGTTTGGTAAGCTTGTTGAACATTTACTTCAAAGTATATAACATAAGGTCTTGCTAGCAGTCCTTCAATTAACCCCGCATTTGTTTCTCTTCTTTACAGAGCTTGCTGAAGAGGCAAATAGGCTTGTGAACTAAGGTTGTCTCTTCTCTTTTTTTGTGTTATCTTCTTGTTGCACACTGTAGTATTAAAGCAGCTGGATAGACACAGTGTTGTCTTCATTTTGGTTGCATTCATTGTATAAACTAACAAATCACAGCAGCATTATATGATTACTCTTCAATGCCCTTGAAGTTTATATTTGATGTAACAGGCATGAGTTAAAGACAAACCTTCTATAATCATGTTGTGTAGTCATAACATATGAGTTAATTTAAAGGTTTGAACTGTCAGATGGTTAGGTTTCCTGATCAGGCACTTTGGTAATACCAATTTGAAAATGGCATTTTCAAAAAAAGTTCCAGATATGACTATTTATCTTGTTTAACCAATTTGTCCTTGTTTATTCATGCATAAACTTCATTTTAGGCACAATTTGTAAAAATACTAAGATGTCTAACCATACTTAATGATGCTGATAGATAGACATTTCTCCATGTTATATCACTTATCTCTAACTACTTTAAAGGCTAACATGACTTTGATTTCTGCAGTGGAAGCTCTTGGTGAAATAGTTGAACAACTGGGTAAAAAAGGCTGGAATTTCAATTTGAAACATTATGACAAAAACTTGAACTGGCAAACACCAATAGTGGACTTCTCCCTTATGTATGACTGTACTGTCAATTGCACCTGCCTTTCTGATGATGAATGTCACATCAGTGCCATGTATGTTCTTTTTTATGTTTTTAAATATACTTATTATTCAACTCAATTTTTTGCTTAAAATGTTATTTATGATTTTTTTATTTTATTTATTTTTAAATTAGGAGGCAATGATGTTTGAATACTAGCCTATGCTCTGTATGTTAAACTTATTAATGTCAGTTGAAAGTCCAAATTCTGTTTTGTATAGATGAAAAAAAGAGTAATGTGCTGAGAAAACCCTGGTATTGTTCTGTCACTTCTTATTTACAAGACGCAACCGGTTGCCATGAACATCTATTCATATATTGCTAATTACTAGGGTTGTTGGGAAAATTAAGGTTGTATTTTGATGTCCCATAGAAAGGGAACGACTGCCAACAGTACTCATAGTAATTTCGAAGTGGAAATTTGATATTTTGAGTATGCAAAGTGACAAGAATAAATGGCAGCCAATTTACAAATGAAATTCAAAATAACGAATATTGTCATGTACTAAAAGAACATAAATATGATCACTTTCAAGATAAATGAGCGAATTTTCTGTTCTTCATTAGGTGACCTCATTTTAGTAACAGTTGATTGAACTTTCACTTCTCATACCATAAAATGTTTGGTAGGTGCGTTCGAATTCAGTTCAGAAATGTTAAATGTCCAACACACCAGAGGCACCAATACACATCTATAATTAGGCATGTAAATCTGCAGGATGTATGTACTCTAATTACTTGGAGTTTTTCATGTTTTGTGCTTTTAATTATTTGTTGTTATACATTGTTGGTTTTTGAAAAATTGAATTCTGTAATTATTTATTTTCATGGAGATGACTCTCTTAGGTAATATATTGTATACAAATCTCTAATTCAAGAATGAATAAATAATGAGTGCAGCTAGAAATTTCAGGATGCAGACAAGATTAGAAAGATTGAAGCAAATTCAAACAAAAACCACCATGCCCATGGTTTGCGATGATGATTTCAATTGGTATCCTTGTAATTGCATTGCTTCTTGGGCATATAATCAACGCAACAGTGAATCGAATAGCCAAAGTTGAGGATGATTACCATGAGATGATGGAGATGAAGAAACGAGCAGAGGCAGCTGATGTTGCTAAATCACAGGTATTTGATAGTTGTAGTTCATGTATTGAAATTTTGTTAGGCTTCACCTAATATGTCTACATGGTTCTAATTGAATTTCAATCCTCTGTAGTTCCTTGCTACTGTGTCCCATGAGATCAGAACCCCAATGAATGGTGTTCTTGGTAAGTTTTTGTTATTGTCCTTTATCATTTTAAGTCATTTAAATACATTGCTTTGGGGAAAACATTAAAAAATTATTTAAAAATAAACAAAGAAAGTGGGGTTGTTGTGTGATGTCTGTATATATGTTTATTCAACAGGAATGTTGCAGATGCTAATGGACACAGATCTGGATGTAACTTAACAAGACTATTCAGAACTGCACAGGGCAGTGAAAGAGCGTTGGTTTCACTAATAAATGAGCTTTTGGACCAAGCAAACTTTATTAGGTGCCTTACATCACTACTGCTTTGATGGATGCGAAGCTTGGCACGGAAGGGCGCAAGGATCTTTTTGATTGGCTATCAAGGCAACTTAGTGGATTAAGCAATTTTCCTGATGCTGTAATACGCTAGCATGTATTGTTTCAATTTGTTATGCTAGATGGATGTGACTTGTGAATGAAAACTTAGAATAGTTGTATTGTGTCGAATGTTAATGAATTATGTATTGTGTCCAATGTTAATGATTCAGTTGATTTGAATGATGCTTTAAAATTATAGGTTTATTATGGATTGAATGAATTATTAGGAATTATAGGTGTATTGTTTTCGTGCTTTGGCGACCAATTTATTAGTCACGACAAATAAATAATTTTTTTTTGCAAAAAATGACAATTGCCGACAAAGAGTTTTGGTCGCAAAAAATACATGTATTGCCGACCAAAACAGCTCTTGGTCGTGGAATCTGACTTTTGCCGACCAAAAGTTTTGGTTGCGAAAAGACACAAATGGCGACCAATTTTTTTGGTCGTGAAATGTGATAATTGGCGACCAAAAAATTTGGTCGCGAAATGTAATAATTGGCGACCAAACTTTTTGGTTGCGAAATGTGACAATTGGCGACTAAGAAATTTGGTCGGGAAAATATCACTTTTCGCAACCAAAGTGTTTTGGCGACAAAATAAATTAGTCGCGATAATTAAATATTTAGTGACCAAAAATTTAGTCGGCAAATTCAACTTTTGCTGACCAATCAAAATTTTGGTCGCGAATTACTTTTACCGACCCTCAATTGGCGACCAAAGTAGCGTCCAAAAAAATTGGTCGCGGATAACTTTTGCCGACCAAAAATAAGCTTTTAGCGACCAATTTTTTTGTTGCCAAAAATGTTAATTCTTGTAGTGTCGGTAGGACATGTCACATAAGAAATAACCAATTGGATCTTGTGCTTTGTATGACACGTGGTACACACTAATAATTGCTAATGGAACAGTTGAACACTAAAGATGTTACACATGCAATTTCTTACATGCCTGTGGGGCATCTAATTTGGAAATGTCGCAAAAAGTAAGGTTGAATTGGTAGGATATGGCACATAAGAAATGACCAATTGGATTTTGAGCTTTGTATGACACGTGGTACACACTAATAATTGCTAATGGTACAGTTGAACACTAAACATGTTACACATGCAATTTCTTACATGCCTGTGGGGCATCTAATTTGGAAATGTCGCAAAAAGTAAGGTTGTATTGGTAGGACATGGCACATAAGAAATGACCAATTGGATTTTGAGCTTTGTATGACACGTGGTACACACTAATGCTAATGGTACACTTTAACACTACACATGTTACACATGCAATTCCTTGCGATTGAAAGTATTTGGGATCTCCATTGGGATGACCCATACTCTTAAAGTGATCTTAGCCTTCTATATATGTATAAAGTCTACTCATGTATATATGAAATCTAGGGACTTGGGGCTACTGCTGTGATAAGCAGCGATCTGCTGTGAGCCCGTGGGGGTTTTTTTTAAGTCTTTTTTGATAATCTGAACCGTTCATATTATAAGTTTCGTCGAGTATTTCATCCATACAAAAATTAAGTTAATCAAAAATCCGTAACCCTATGATCAGGTTCAAATTGTTTTACAAAAATTATCGAGATAATGTTAACCGTTTATTTTTTAAAAAAACAAATGTACTCTTGTTATAAAGTTATAGATTTTCAATCAATTTGATTTTTTGCATAGATGATCTATTTAACAAATCTTACAATATGAACAGTTTAAATTATCAAAAAAGACTCGAAAAATCCTCCACAGGAGCACAGCAAATTACTACTGTGACTTAGCAGCACCCCCAAGTTCGGGATCTACATCATCAGTATTCAAATTTGTGAGGGTCTTGTGGGGGTCTTATGGAGGTGGGAATCCCAATCATTACTTTTTCTTACATGCTTGTAGGGCATCTAATTTGGAACTGTCGCAAAAAATTAAGATTACGTTTGGTAGAGTTTTAGAATTATGATTTGAGAATAGAATTGTATTTTGAGTTTATGAGTTTTGAAATTATAATTTGAGTGTGAAAAATTTATTTGGTTATGAGTTTTGAAAAGAGTTTTGAATTGAGTGATGTGACATATGATATTTGATTTAAAATTTACAACTCATAACCAAACACACAACTCAAAATTCTATTCAAAACTTATAAAAAAAAATTTTAAAAATTAAAAAATATTTTTTACTTAAAATATAAAAATAACAAGTGCAAAAAAAAAAAAATACTGTTCCGGTCAACCGGCCGGACGTCCGGGGGATATCCAGGACGATGACCGGGTAGACATGTTTTCAAAAGTGAGTGTAGAATTAATTTTTGAAATCATTAACCAAACAACAATTATTCATCCCACTAAAAACATCACCACTAATAGCACTAATGCATTAAAAAAGTAAAAAAAAATAAAATAAAAATACAACTCCAAGACCAAAACATCACATCATTAATGGCGGGACCCACTGCCACCTAATTAGTGGGAGCACTAATTAGTGCTCCCAAGCATTTTTCTTAACCAAACATGGCATTCAAAGGACGGTGTGGAATTACATTTCAAGAGCTCCACCAAACACAGCCTAAAATTTTATTAGAGAATTTACAAATTAGTGCTACTATCTTACAATAATTATATATTTATAAAAAAAAAAATTATGATCTTAATCATTAAAATATATAAAATTTATCGTGAATTTGTGATTATTCAAAACTAATATTGATTTGTTATCTTTTCACTTATATTTTACTTTTACTAGAAAAATATTGAGAAATGTGCAATATTAAAAAAATAAATAAAAGGCTAAACTTCCCCATGATTACTTATTTTGAAATTTGTTAAATTTATAAGTTTACTTGAACCATCATACTACTAAATTTAAACGTAACGACCAAGTATTGTAACTAGGAAAAGACTAGTGATGACATGATTCATTATTAAAAAAAATTGAATAGTAAAATCAATTAAGTAAAGGTTGTAGTTTCTCTCTAGTCCTTAATTAAATTGGACAATACTGTTGAGCCGTAGTAGGCCCAATTCAAGATCTATCTCGATGATTCAAATTGTTTAATGTGTAGAGTTCGTCAAGTCAAGAACATCATCTCTATAAAAAATCACGTTGATCAGATATCGATAGTCATTTTATTAGGTTACATTTGTTTCAACAGTAATTATGATTTTAAAAATAAATCACAAACACAAATATAAGTTGATCAAATGACTATTAATGTTCAATTAACATGATTTATTCTAAGATCATCAAAATAGGTTCAAGTCAAGCATAACGCAACCTAAAAGTATCATCTAATCAGTTTCTGGACGAGAGAGAAGCTAAACCCTTAAGTAAATACAAGGGTGGTGCTATGCATAGGGTCTGTTTGATATAGATTAAACTATCTATGATTTTGTTTTATAAATTTGTATCACTGGCACCGCTAGTTTATAGTTTAAAATGCAAAAAGAATTTAAATAAGTTGAAAATTTGGTTATCAAGAAATTGAAAAAAGATACTTTTAGTTAAAAAAAACTTTTCTTACCTTTATTTAGGTAGGCAGATTTATAAGAAAAAAAATCATTATAAATTAATATATCATTCTTTTTATTTTTTATATATCGTTTTATAAAAAATTAGCATATTACTTGTGCTATGCACAGGATAAAATAATATTTTATTTCTTAAAAATATGATAATTATATTTAAATACGATTAAATAATACATTATTTATTACTATTTATTAAATCCAAGTATATCCATACTGTATTTTAGATGGTATACGATAATTATATTTAATTACAAATGATATGCTATCAATACTTGTGCACCTATTATTGATGGCATATCATTTGTAAAAATAGTCGTGCTTATGCTATAATTATACTTGAAAAAAAGGTTATACTATTTATTAAACCCAAGTATATCCTTGCTATTATTTGAATATAATGATATGCTATATTTAAAAAAAAAAAACCCAAGTATATTATGTGAACCTAATAAAATATTAAAAAATAAATTAAGTCCAATTCCAATCACAATCACAAAATACAATTCAACCATCATTAATAGTTGATACTTTATGTAAACTTAATAAATATGATTATTCTTAATCAATTTAAAATTTTAATCACTATATTAAAAAATAAATGATTTACTTATAGACTTTGAAATGTTTTTCTTTCAAGATTTTGTTTTATTCTGTCTCCCAAATTGCTGCGTAAGGCTGCTGCTCTCTCCCAAACTTTTGTTTAGGTTTTTGTGATAGGATTTCTTTAAGTTGCTGTGATATAGAGTTTAGGTTAATAATCATAGATATCAGTGGATTTCTTTACACAAAGGCGGGAAAGTAGTTGTTGTTGTTTTTTTTTTTTTTTAAAAAAAAAAATCAAAAAATTAAGAAATTTAGATTTAAAATTCAATTTAATCATTATTAATAGTGGATACTTTATGTGAACTTAATAAATACAATCTAATTTTTTTTTTCAAAAAACATAAAATAAAAATACAATCACCGTGTGATTGTATTCAAAAAATATGAATACAATCTTCTTCTTTTTTTCAAAAAACACAGATTAAATGGAGTGTAAAAAAAATAATCATTTAAAAAATAAAAATCACCATGTGATCAAAATGGAGTGTAAAAAAACATAATCACAATTTTGCTCATAAACAATAAAATAAAATAAAAAGGGTAAATTACATTTACCTCCCCTGAGGTTTCTGACAAATACAGGGACCTCCCCTGTGGTTTGAATAATTACAGTAACACCCCCTACTTTACCTGACATTGTCAAGTTTCCCTCAAAAGTTGACAGCCGTTTAAACCCCTAACAGACCCTGCCTATGTCATCAAATGTAAACAATAAAATGCCCATAATACCCTCAACCCATCTATATATAGCAAATGGTCTCTTCAGCTTCACTTCAGTAAATCCAAGTGGAAGAGAAAAATTTAGAGAGGCAACCAAAACTAAAGAACAACAAAAAGAAGAAAGGGCCAAGCACAAACACAGGTATGTTTCCAATCACAATAACTATTTAAAAAAAAAATTGCATATGAAAATGCATTATAACTATGCCCATTATTGAGAAATGAAGCACAAGCACAACACATATGTTCCCAGTCACATTAACTATTTTAAAAAAAAAAAAAATTGCATCTGAAAATGCATTATAACTATGATCCATTATTGAGAAATGAAGCACAAACACAAGTATGTCCCATGAATATATGTCCTGAAAATGCATTATAACTATGATCCATTATTGAGAAATGAAGCACAAACACAAGTATGTCCCATGAATATATGTCCTGAAAATGCATTATAACTATGATCCATTATTGAGAAATGAAGCACAAACACAAGTATGTCCCATGAATATATGTCCTGAAAATGCATTATAACTATGATCCATTATTGAGAAATGAAGCACAAACACAAGTATGTCCCATGAATATATGTCCTGAAAATGCATTATAACTATGATCCATTATTGAGAAATGAAGCACAAACACAAGTATGTCCCATGAATATATGTCCTGAAAATGCATTATAACTATGATCCATTATTGAGAAATGAAGCACAAACACAAGTATGTCCCATGAATATATGTCCTGAAAATGCATTATAACTATGATCCATTATTGAGAAATGAAGCACAAACACAAGTATGTCCCATGAATATATGTCCTGAAAATGCATTATAACTATGATCCATTATTGAGAAATGAAGCACAAACACAAGTATGTCCCATGAATATATGTCCTGAAAATGCATTATAACTATGATCCATTATTGAGAAATAATGCAATATGTTTTGTAATGGACCATATATAAATATGATGAAGTTATTTCAGCATTATGTAAATATGCACATCTCATTTGAATAACATTATGACCTGTAAACATAATCTAAACAGCAAGTAAAACCATTCCATAAATATGCACCTGTTTAATTACATCATGATTGTTGTAAAATATGTTCAAGTAGTTTACTTACATCATTCCTATCAAATATGTTCAGTTACATCATCAGTTATAAAATACTTCATGGCCACTACAAAAAAACAAAAATGGCCACATCATTATATTGCTATTCTTAGCATTGCATGTCCACTACAAAAATACAAAAAAATGGAACATGATCCTCACTAACTATACAGTCAAGCAACATATATTTTATACCTTCAACCTATGTTAATCCTTGTACCCAAAATATCAACAACTTAGCTAAGTCATCTGCAAAAAAAGTCAAACAAACAAACAAACAAATAAATTGATGTTGTCTGACCTGTGTCACAAACAAACAAATATCAACAACTTAGCTAATTTCATTGTAACTTCATAAGTAAGTTCATAACTAACATGATGTTGTGTGACCTGTGTCACACATTCAGCAGGCATTGGGGGGGTCCCTCTTGGAATATCCTAAATTGAAAACCAAAGTAAGGTAATAAATATGCATATCAATATCACACATTCAGCATACCATTGGCTCTCAAGTAAGTTGCCTTAGAATAGTAGGGGTGGACAAAATCTTCTATGTTTAACCTACTGTGAGAAATTGCAGCCACGGCATGCTTGCATGGAAGACCAGATATTTCCCACTGTCTACATACACAAGTCATTGCCCCAATATGGACAATGTGATTAACCCCCTCATTATCCTTCACCTCATACTCATTGCCTCCTGCATACTCCACTGTGCAAGTCCTTGACCATTTCTGTGTGACCTCAAGCTGTTTCTTCACATTCAATGTGACATTAGATTTCCATTGCATTGCCTTTTGGTACCTCATCTGAAACTTACCCATCAACTTGCACCTTATGCCCTCTAACATAGTTAAAATTGGCTGAGTTCTCAAATTTCCTAACCAATTGTTGAAGGACTCAGTCATGTTATTTGTGATGTGATCACTTCTAATCCTACCATCAAATGCATGCCTAGACCTTCCTTCAACTGGAACCTACTGCAACCAAATGCAAGCATCATTGTTTAGGTCCTTAATGGCTTGTATAGCCTTATCATACTCCATCTGATTGTAAGCCCTTGCTGCTCTCCAAAATTGCTTCCTCAAAATTAAACTCGGAAATTTGGCTCTGAAATTGTTATATAGGTGCATGCAACATCTTCTATGAGTTGCCTCCGGTATAATGTCACTCACAATCTTATCAAGGCCCTGCATATAAAAACAATGAAACATTACTAAGCATTACAAGTTTAAAATTAGAGAATCATTTGTAATTATGTAAGTAAAGTAGTTGTTGAATATGTCAGTAAAGTACCTTTTGTTGATCAGACATGATGGTCCATGGTCTAAAAGGTAGTGCATCTTCTATGATTGTTCTCAAGTTGTGCAAGGAAAAAGACCAACTGTCCTTGCATTCACCCTCTACTATTGCCAATGCCAATGGAAACAAGCCATTATTTCCATCCAAGGCAACTGCTGAAATTAAAACACCACCATAGGGACCCTTCAAGAGACACCCATCTACCCCTATGAATGGCCTACATCCATTAATGAACCATGCTTTCATTGCATCAAATGATATGAAAATTCTTTGGAACAATGGATATTGAGGAATGGTAGGGTCTGGTTGTTCTCCATCTTCTGAGACTGGGGTAGAAGGTATGTCATAATTTATGACAACCAAGCTGCCAGGGTTTGTTTTGTTGATTTGACTAGCATATGTTGGCAACAACACATATTGGCTCCCATGATCACCCTCCAGCTCCTCCTTGCACCTCCTTTTGGCTCTATACAGTTGCATTCTTGAAGCCTCAATCCCAAACATTTTATTCAGTTTCATTTGCATGGTATCTAAGCCCATGTGTGGATTGTCCTTAAAACTTTCAACCATTTTTTTAGCAATCCAAGCTGATGTAGCTTCAGTGTTTGTGTTCATCCTGCTACATGTGTGAGTAGGTACTAAGGTTTTAATCTTGTAGGTGATCCCATCTGGAAGTGGAGATGCATGAATTCTCCAAGGGCAGCCCTCAGCAGCACAATGGGCTGTTACTCTAGACTTCTCATTTTTGTCTCTTACTATCTTGAAACCAGTTTGCATTGTATAGTCCCTTAATGTAGCCCTAAAAGTATTCACTTTTGGAAAAATCATCCCTTCTTCCAACACAACTTCTCCATCTTGATTCATATATGGCTCTTTCCCATTGTAGGTACCATTCATGCCTGGAAACCTCATCTCTTCATCATCTAGACAGTCTGCTTCATCATCATAATCATCATCAGTACTAGAATATGGCACTTCATCATCACTAGATTGGTAATCACTAAGTTCAGCATCATCACTTGAGCACTCATTATCATCATCACTCAAAATCTCATTGGCATCTGATTGGTTTTCATCCTCAGCAGTTGCATTCCAATTCCTATCCTCATCACTAAACCCATAAACATTGTCCTGATGGTACTCTTCATCTACATCTATAGTATGGTAGTCTTGCTCTACATCTATAGCATCTACTCCATGATTTTCATTTCCAACATTACTTTTATGTCCACCATCACTCATTCCAATAGAATATTCTATGTTTACATACAAGTTAATTGTTTTACTCCTTCCTTGCACATAAAACATGTCTAGCACATCAAGATCATTTTCTACTAATCTCCTTCTGTCAGTACCAGGCATATCACAATGCAATGTGATTGCTATTGCTTCACTACAAGAAATGTGAGACAGGACTGTTGCAGTTACATCCTTCAAGGCATCAATGTAGCAATACATATTTGGGTCCACATCAAACACTCTTCCCACTTTTCCTTTGTAGTTGATGATTAAATCAAAATAAGGAAATGTAGCCATACTGTAATCATAATGATGTTGCAGCCATACTGTAATCATAATGATGTACCAATTATAAAATAAAATAAGCAAGCCCATACAATGACAAATTGACAAGAAAAAGAAGAAAAATGACGTAAAAATTAACTCAGTACTCAACAATTAACTGAAGAAAATATGCAAACATGAAGAAATCCGTAAATTACACTATAATTATACTAACATTAAACAATCATAAGTAAAACCCAACAAATCAGAAATTCATTCTAAACATACATCTCCTGAATAACACCCAGAAAATCATAAATTCATAAATTTTCAACAAATTCCCTGTATTCGAATCAGAAATTTTGCAAATCAAATAAAAGCCCTCAACATTGCAAATCAAATAAAAGCCCTAAACATACATCTCATAAATAAAATAAAAAAAATCAGAAATTTATATTAAATCCCTACATTACACTATTATTATAGTAATATTCAACAAATTCCTTTTTTCCAGTCAGAAATTTTGCAAATAAAATATAAACTCTAAATATATATTTTCGAAGTAAACCATTTTCACATACATTTCATCAAATCAAACACAGAATACAAACAAATTTATAAGAAAAAAGATGGAAAAAAATATTCGAAAATCATCAACACACATTTTAAAACACTATTCGAAGCTTACAGAGTTCGAAGTCTTACCTGGAAGCCGTAACAACAACTTCTCACCGATGAAACTCTTTTACATTGTGTACTGGCAACGACGATAGGTTCAAAACCTCAAGCTTTTTCGTCTTCTTCACAATCGACGATCGGTTCACGACGATCGCCTCCCTCTCTCTTTTCTTTCTCTGAACAATTCGATTTGTATTGTGAATGTATTGATTAGGGATTTTGTGAACAAAGGGCTTTTTGGTCTTTTTGCAAGAAAAAGCAAGGGTCACATGGTCATTATCTATTGGATACTAACGTCGTTTGGGCAAAATAGACGGAATGGGGGAAACTTGACAATGTCAGGTAAAGTAGGGGGTGTTACTGTAATTATTCAAACCACAGGGGAGGTCCCTGTATTTGTCAGAAACCTCAGGGGAGGTAAATGTAATTTACCCAATAAAAAAACAATGAAGTCAATTGGTAATTAAAAAATACAATTCAGCTTGTTTGGTTCTGATTTTCAGAAAACAGTTTTTAGAAAATTTTACTTTTTTATTTTCTGTATTTCAATATTTTTAATGAATTTTTTAAATATTTTAAACAATTTTTTTTTTTAAATTTTTAGACACACATAACATAAATACACTTAAAAAGTATAATATCTGTGAAAAAATATTTAAAAAATACATTTAATACCAAAACATACGAAAAAAAAAAATTCAGAATTAATTTTTTAAAAATATTTTTCAAAAATATTTTACTGTTTAGATACATCTAAATAAGGTATATCTAAAAAAGTTAAAAAGTTGCTTAAAATTTTAAAAATATTCACTAAAAACAAAAAAATACGAAAAATAAAAAACTAAGATTTCAGAAAATTGAAACCAAACACACTGATTTTTTTTTTTTTCAAAAAACATAGTGAGTGAAAAACTGTATCACAATAAGTTAATTGATAGTTAAAAAGCACAATCAATTTTTTTTTTAAATAAAAAATACAGTGAGTTAAAAAACCTAATTACAAAATACAGTCTATTCATCATCATCAATAATATGTACTTTATGTGGACTTAATGAATACAATCTTCTTCTTCTTTTTTTTCTTTCAAAAAACATAGATTAAAATTAAAATATTAAAAAATAAATTAAATCCAATCACAAGCACAAAATACAATCCAATCATCATTAATAGTTGATATTTTATGTGAACCTAATGAATATAATCAATCTTAACCAATATATTTTTTTCAAAAAACATAGATAAAAAATAAAATATTAAAAAATAAATTAAATTCAATCACAATCACAAAATACAATTCAACCATATTAAAAAATAAATTATTTACTTATCGACTTTGAAATGTTTTTTCTTTCAAGATTCTATCTTATTCTCTCTCTCAAATTGCTGTGTAAGGTTGCTGCTCTCTTCTAAACTTTTTTGTTTAGGCTGTTGTGATAGGGTTTCTTTAGGTTGGTGTGATATAGAGTTTAGGTTAATAATAATAGGTAGGCGTGAGTTTCTTTACGCAAAGACAGAACAATTGTTTTTATTATTATTTTTAAATCAAAAAATTAAGAAATACATTTAGTTAAAAAATACAATCACATTTGTTTTTCACACCGTCTAATCAAAACGGAATGCATGTAAAAAAACATAATCATATTTTCATTCATTCTCATAATAAAAAAATAAATGAAAACAAAAATAATGGTGTCAATTGAATAAAGAAATAAATAAAAAGAAAAGCAATGAAATCAATTGAAGATTACTTACAGGAAAATAACAGCTGATTGTTGAAGTAATGAAGTCAGGTGACTGTTGAAGCAAGGAAGTCAATTGAATAAAGAAATAGATGAAAAAAAAAAGTAAGTATTAAAAAATTATATGAAAAGAAAAGTAATAACAGTCAATGAAAGATTATTCACAGAAAAAGTGGAGGTGAAAAATAAGATGCGACTGTGAAAAGTGGAGGTGAGAAATAAGATGCGGCTATAGAGGCGTAAAGAAAAAAAATAAAGTAAGTAAAAGATAGGATTTAGGATTATTTAAAAAAGGTGGGAGTGAGTTTTTTTTTTAAAAAAAAAAAATCCAAAAATTAAGAAATTTAGATTAGATTATTACAACTTCTACAAAATTCATGAGTTAAAAAAATTCTTTTCCTTATATAATAAATTAAAAAATTAACTAAAATAATAAATTTTCAAACGGACGTAGTCACACCGAACAAAAGCAACTATCTATTCTAAGTAACTTATAATTACACCAAACACCAGCAACCTAACTTTCTTACTCCTTTTTCTGTCCCATTTAAAAAGGAAACTAACTAGTGGCAAAGCTTTTCAGCATCAAGCTTTTTTTTTTCTTTTTTTTTTTTTCTTTTTTTTTTCAAGAGGGTAGAGGGAAGGCCCCCCTACAGAACGCTCATCCAAGCCAATATGGGAATTCTCACCCTCTCTCTTCTTTCTCTCAATTTTTTTACTAACATCATTCGCTCGGTTTGATTTTTATTTTCAGAATTAACTTTTTTTTTAAAAAAAAATTCTGTATTTTTTAAATACTTTTAACAATATTTTTTTTAAAATTTTTAAACACGCTTAATATAAATACACTTAAAAAGTATAATACTTGTAAAAAAAATTTACTAAATACCAGAAATATAAAAAAAATACAAAAATTTAATACTTTTTTATGTTTTTGTGTATTTATTAATTTTTTAAAATATTTTCTCACAAATATTTCATTATTTAGATACATGTAAGTATATTTCATCTTAAAAAGTAAAAAAAATTATTTAAAATTTTAAAAATATTCACTAAAAAAAACAAGAAAAATAAGAAATTCCATTTTCAAAAAATTAAAACCAAACATACTAATAAATCATTACTTCCAACTTTATTTTTTTTAAATTCAATTTCTTTGTTTTTGTTTTAGTGTTAAAAAAAAATTCACTAAAAAAATCACTTTTAAATCCTATTAGAATAGAAAAGGGAAATTTAATCTAACATCTCCCTCCAACTTTTAGTAATGGGAGATATCCACAATATTTCTTTTTGTAGTCTAAGGTCCTTGGATGACTAACTAGTTTACTTTCAACTTCATCGCATTATCAGGAGTGTCCCAATCTTCACAATCCTTGACAAGCTTCTTTTTCAAACCTTGCTTCCCAATCTCCTTCTCTTCCCCGACTTTCATGATCGGACTCTCGTACATTAATTGTTATTAAGCTTATGATATTATCTCATACGATGAGATGCAGGTGAAGAAAATGAGTACAGACGTATCATTTATCCTTGATGCTTTGCAGATTTCTTCTACTATTAAAGTGCAGGTTAGATGTTTGTGATGAGTACAGACCCACCTCTCAGCATTTGTTTAATTTTTTGATTATTGTGGTAAAGTTATCTATTTGTGATGCTTCGCTTCCAGTACTTTGCTTTTTGTTTGTAAAACCCTTCTTTAACCTGGATCGGGTGTTATTCTTGTAGGATGGCAAGATAAGAAGACGTGACAAGTGGCCAAAGTGGGTTCCAACTTCAATAGAGCATAAATTATCCTCACCGGCTCTTAGACCCCAGGGACAAGCTGTAGAGAAGGCTACTGTTGCTTCAAAGAATGAGTTTGATAAGAAGAGTGATAAGAAGCTATCAAATAATGAGAATATGGAAGAGAACTTATCAGCAAACAGAGAAGTTATAGAGAAGCACAGAATTTCTTTGGAATGGATCCAAAATTTCTTTGGGATGAATTCAGAATTTCTCTGGAAACAAAATTTCTATGGGAACAAAATTTCTTTGGATGGCCAAAGTGGATTCCAACTTCAACAGAGCAGAAATTATCTTCACCAGCTCTTAGGCCCCAGGAACAAGCTGTAGAGAAGGCTACTGTTGCTTCAAAGAATGAGTTTAATAAGAAGAGTGATGAGAAACTATCAAATAATGAGAATATGAAGGAGAACTTATCAACAAACAGAGAAGTTATAGAGAAGTGCAGAATTTCTCCAGGATGGATCCAAAATTTATCTGGTGACGGATCTAAAATTTCTCTGGAAACAAAATTTCTCTGGGATAAATTCAGAATTTCTCTAGGAACAAAATTTCTCTAGGATGAATCCAGAATTTCTCTGGGATCAAATTTTCTCTGAATTGATGTATAAAGACTTTAGACATTATGAAAATATTATATATCATTTATGCTATAAAATCTCAATGCCAGAGACCCTAAAAAAAAATCCCAATAGAAAACCCTAAAAATAAAATTTTTTAAAAATTCTAAAGTAAAAAAAAAAAAAAACTAAAAATATTATGTTTTGTTTTTTGTATTTAATAAATTTTTTTATTTTTTAACTTTTTCTCACTCCTTGTACACTAAAAAATTACATTTATAGAACTAATTATGAAAAATAATATTATTTTTTAACTGCTGCCAAGCTCAACCTTGCCATGGATAAAGCTGTTATATCGAGGAATAGATGAATTCTCTAAGAGCATCTCCAATGGTTGTTGCTATAATATCATTGCTATTGTTATAATTTGACAATGAATAGTACTATTTTGTCAAATTATAGCAATGGTGCTCCAATGGTCACTTGTTATTTTGGCAATTCTCAACCAACTTTCCCTCCAAGTTCGTAGGTGCTATTTAGATATAGGTTTTTTTGTGATTTTATTTTTGTTTATTTTTTGTCTTTTATGACATTTTTTTAAGTATTTGTAAAAAAAAATTATATATGTATATTATTCCCGGCTAGACAAATATAAAAAATGGAAAAATTTTGAAAAATTAAAAATAAATAAATAAATAAAATTTAATTTGAAAAATTAATTGGTTTTCTACTGTTTCAATTATGTTTTTTCAATTGAATTTAGAGCCACAAATATGTTCATATTTGTTGACGTGGCATGTTTGACGATTGCTATTTTACTTGTCAAATTTGAGAATAGATATGACATATGCCATCTTTGATAAGTAAAATAGCAAATCATTAAAGACCCACTTTTTATTACTATTACTAAATTATAACTTTGACAAGTATTTTAAGAAACCCATTAGAGATGCTCTGAGTGAAAAACATTTAACAGATGGGCAGCTCGGCAAGATGTACTTTTAGGTCCCATCTTTGCTCGGAAAATTATCTTTTGCTCCTTTGATTTTTGTTGATTAAAATAATAAGATTTACTATTTTTTTTCTCCCTTTAAGAAATAATTGAACAAATATCTATCAACGAATAATATAAAATAATATTCAAGAACTACCAAATAACTTTTCCCTTTGCTCACCATGCAACTTTAAAATTCTACTGTTAGAGATGGAAACTTTCTTGGGAGAAAATTGCAATTAAATAAAAAATAATTAAAGTAAATATACTTTTATAGAAGTATAATGAATAAATGAGAGTTGTTTTACTTGTACTAGACACAAAACTCATTTACACCTTTAGTAATATATTATTTTATTTTATCATTTCCATTTAAATACAACTTTGTTGTTAAAAAAGACAGTTCTAAACCTTACAAAACATGTTAAAGTTTTCATCCATGTAAGAAATGTGACAAATTTGGTCTGACCCAACTCACTTAAAATAAATAAATAAATAAAAAATCACAATTGTTATAAACACAAAAGGATAAAAATTAAAAATAAATTTTCATACTAGCATTAACATTTTGGTGCATTTAAAAATCAAAATCTATAAATCAATAATAAATTTTATAATATTAAAAAAAATCATAAACTTTACCACCAATACAAAATTATTTTCTCAACTTCACACTACTGAAATGTTATTCTCCTCCATTATCAATCTCCCATCCTTTTGTGTAGCCCAGACACAGAGACTGTTTTTGAATAAATAAAAAGAAAAAAAAAATATGACACAGAGACTGTTTGTAAGACTTGTTTGTTTCATACAAAGGTTACCAACAATGGGGGAACACCTGTCCTTGCATAAAACCATATATTAAACGTGACATAATTTTAGAGATTTTAAATATTTATAATTTGTATAATAATTGAGGCTAATAATAATGACATAATACTAGTTAGTACACTAATGTGTACATTAATTGGTGCATATCACCGCTGTATATTATGTCCAGGGTAATGTTAAGAAAATCAAATTTTCTACCAAACAAATGACTAAATATCTTACATAGATGTGGAATCTATAATTTTGTAAATCTCACATTCATATAAAATATTTAATTATTTATTTAATAAAAAAATTAAGACTAATAACATTTTAACTGCCCTTACGGTCACACTGTGATGCTAGGTGGTTTTTTACGACATAAATTAGCCTTCAATCATTTATCTTTGGCCCTGTGATGAATAGTCTTGATTTTTTATTTTTTATTTCTTTGGGGTTCATAAAGTGAGAATAGCTTTGATTATTATGAGCACTTTATTCCTTGTTTCTTTGGTAAACCCATCTTCGATTAAAAAGAGTAACGCTAGGTACAAAAAAAAAATATTTAAATTATTTTATATATGATTTAGATTCATTTAAAATGTGAGTTTCACTATATAGGTTAAATCTCAATCATATATTATTTTTCTAAATAAAGTCTTATGTATAAATTTTGTGCACATATATTTATTTTTACCTTAAATACATGTTCAATTAGCAGAAAATATTAATTTGGTGCAATTTTTTATAGAAACATTAAATCATAAACTTTTTATTTTTTATTTTTATGAATGTGTGAATATTTTTTTTAAAGCACACTAAAATGTAATTTCACCTAAAATCAACCAATATGATAGTTTTCTATTGACTATTAATGAAGTCTTCAATAGGCATTGACGCATTAGTTGACTTGGTTTTAAGTTTCAATGGTGATCCCTTTGTAGGGGTTGAGTTCAATCAAGTTGGCAATAGGTTATTAGGGGACCTGGACCCACAAACACCGCAATGACATCTTTTTTTTTTTTTTTCTTGTTCTTCGTTCTTTTCTTCTTCTTCGTTTTTTCCGACGAGCTGCCATAACCAGAGGGGAGGGGAGAGGGAGAAAAGGGAGGAAGGAGGAGGGAGGAGGCTGCGAGCTCGCCATCGCAGCTCGTCGCCTCGCTGCTGGCCGTCACAGCCGTCCGATCGTCGCCCGATCCAGATCGTCGCCTCCAGCACTGCACCGCCGTCGCCTCCGCCTCCGGCGCCGCCTCCTCCCAATTATTTTCTAATATTTTTATTTACATAATATACCATCCTCATACATACATATATATACATATATATATATATATATATATATATATAAACACATAGAAAGAGACAGAGCGAGAGGGGAGGGCAATTGTTAAAAAAATATCTCATATCGCCAATGACCCAACTAATTCCAGGAACATTCACATGAAAAGGAGAGAAATAGATGGAAGCCCATGAAGAATGACACTATTATATTGGCGTGGCAGCTAAGGAGAATCAATGTTTTGATAATGACATCATGATTTATATTACAATTTACTTATTATTTAAGTTTTATTATTCATATTAATGGTAATGGTAAGATATTATATGATAAAAAAAAAATGATCAATCATAAAATATTGTCATCCATGTTTTACCCAATAAATGAGGTGTTTAGGATAAATTACAATAACTTTCTTTGGTAATTTTACTCTATGATTTAAATACACATATTCTTAAAATAATAAAAAATCCATATGGGGTTGTATGGCAAAGGAATCTGGTTCTTAATTTTTTCTTTAATAAAGGGTTAGAGATTGAAAATTCTCTAAAAAGTCCACTCACCACCATGAAATTGCAAAATATTTATCTATATATTATGTTCACACATGTAAAACTCACAACCAGTTAAAAAAATTAGAACTAACTGCTGTTACAACTATTGTTCCCATTAATAATTATAAGGCCAGTGAAAGCTTCATCTCCATCAAAACCATCCCTCAAGCTTTCAATTGAAACCATAAATCTGAGATTTGCGTTCTGATAAGGGGTTCATCTACTCAACAGATGTTTAGGAAAATGATTTGTGGGAAGAACCAACGCAAGTCCATAGACAACAATAATGGCTCCAGAAAGAAGATCAAAGGCACAGTGGTTTTGGTGAAGAAGAATATTCTGGACATGAACGATTTGGGTGCCTCGGTTCTTGATCGAGTTCATGAGTTCTTGGGAAAAGGTGTTTCGCTTCAGCTTATCAGCTCTGATCGTGGCGACCCAGGTCAGCCTCTCTCTCTCTCTCTCTAAGTTCAGTAAGTGTCGAGTAATTTCCCAAATGTTCATACATTTTCTCAGCAACCAAACAGAGGCTAGTGATTCAATTCCTCTCTTCTTAATTAGCAGTTTTGGAGAAGTCATTTTTGTCACCTTCTAGAATCTCCAGTTACAACCTTCTCTTAGGAAGAGAGAGAGAGAGAGCTGTAGAGACAGAATTGATGTGAGTTCTGTTCTAAGGGAGCTCTTGTGTCCCATTCCAAGACTACCAATGGCAAGCTTCTCACACAGAGAGAGAGAGAGAGAGAGAGAGAGATCGATCGATCTAATCCAGCAAACATTTTCTTTTAGTTGTTTGGTTCCTCTGTTCCTGGAAAATATTTGTTGAACTTGACTTATGAGGAAAACACTTTTTTGGAATTTATTTATTTATTTATTTTTTTTGTATTTTCTACCTTTTGATACTACGGCCAAGTTTGGGATACTTAAAAAAATTCAAAAAACCAAAAAGTTACTCAAAAAGTTAAAAAGTTAACACTATTCACCAAAAGTCAACAATTACGGCTACATAACTCCCAATCCTAATTTTCCTTTACAAACCAATTTTTACAATTTTTTATTACACATTTTTCCATAAAAAGTCAAAAAGTTAACCCAAACATCCATATTTTTTCTCTCAACTTTTTAATCCAAAAAGACAAAAAATACACTTATTTAGGACACCCCAAATAAAAATCGACAGAAAATGTTTTTCCCAGCAACGGACAAAATACATTTTCCGTATTAAAATCTTATCAATGCCACCACCCGCTTCCACCACCAGCAACCACCTCCATCTCTACTACTAAAATGAAAAATTTACGAAAAACAGTCTCCAACCAGAAACAATTTTTTTAGTGTCTTGTTATTGTACTGTGAATGGTTCTAATTACAGAAGACTAGTGTACTGGTTTACATAGAACTCATTTGGGATGCCATACCAATGGAGACTTTTTCTTGCATTGTTTCTCCTAGACAATGCTGAAAATTTTGTTTTCCCCTACTATGTGTAGACAAATGGCGAGCACGGGAAGGTGGGAAAACCAGCATATCTTGAGAAGTGGATTACGACAATCACATCAGTGGCATCGGCTAGCGAGGCTTCGTTCAACGTTACATTCGACTGGGATGAGGCCATGGGTGTTCCTGGTGCTTTCATGATCCGAAACCACCACCACAGACAGTTCTACCTTAAGACAGTGACCTTAGAGGATGTTCCCCGGCACGATCAAATCCTTTTCGTGTGCAATTCTTGGGTTTACCCAGCACATCGCTACAGAAATGACCGCGTCTTCTTCACAAACAAGGTAATTCTAATTTGAAATTAAAAACCAAATGTTGGATACAAGTGACTCTTACCTTACTTCTCTAGAACTATTACTATGAATGGTCTATCAGATTGTGAATCTTTTGAGAGGGGATAGGATGTTTTATGGTCATATGCTGATGATCGAAATAGAATGGAATTGAAATATCACTAAAAACTCCTAAGGTAGTGAAATTCCTCGTCGGGTAAGTTTTTGATCCTCATGAAAAGCGTAATGATCTAGGCTTCTAGGCACTGTCTCGGAGTAAGTTTTTTTGGCATTAAATATGGGGTGAGATAAGAACTAAGAAGTAAATGCTCTGACCTACAATTCTGTGATTTTTGTTATCAGACCTACCTACCACACAATACACCAGAACTACTACGCCATTATCGGGAGCAAGAACTTGTTAATCTCCGAGGAAATGGATCGGGCATGCTCAAGGAGTGGGATAGAGTTTATGACTACGCATACTACAATGATTTGGGAATGCCCGACAAAGGATCAGATTATAAACGGCCAGTTCTTGGTGGATCTGAGGAGTACCCATATCCCCGAAGAGGAAGAACTGGCAGGGCACCAACTAAAGCCGGTTAGAAGCTCATCTAGCTAGCTTTTATCATTTTATTCGAGAATGACTTCGTGACATTTGGTGTTTTAAACTCTTCACTAAAAGTTCTTACTATTTTAGTAGCATTTAGTTTAGATAATTTTTACGTGCTTTGCAGATCCTAACACTGAAAGAAGATTACCTCTTCTTAGTTTAAACATTTATGTTCCAAGAGATGAACGGTTCAATCATGTGAAGATGTCGGATTTCCTTGCTTACGCACTCAAATCCGTAGGACAGGTACTCCTGCCAGAGGTCAAGGCTTTATTTGACAAAACTCCTAATGAGTTCGATACATTCCAAGACATACTAAACCTTTATGAAGTGGGGTTTAAGCCGCCAAAAGGGTTCTCGTTATATAAATTTAGGAACTGCATCCGATGGGAGATGCTGAAGGAGCTCTTCCGCTCTGATGGTGGTGAGCGGTTCCACAAATTTCCTATGCCCGATGTAATCAAAGGTTCATTTTCTCCACATCTCACTTGGACTCTAATTCTCTAAAACTCTAGATCCTTCATGATCGATTTAGTTCTCTATCTTCAAAGTTAAAGAGTTTTCATGCGATATTTCAGAGGATAGGTCTGCCTGGAGGACAGACGAGGAGTTCGCACGAGAAATGCTTGCGGGTGTGAACCCTGTTATCATCCGACGCCTCCAAGTAAAATATAATTCTCATTTGATAAATTCTCTGTTATTGGCTTGTAGTGTTTTAACTAGAATATTATTTAATTATTATTATTATTATTATTTTTACCTCAGGAATTTCCACCTGCTAGCAAGCTCGATCCTAAAATATATGGTAATCAAACCAGTTCAATGACCAGAGAGCTAATTGAGAAGAACATGGGTGACCTAACAGTAGATGAAGTACTATCCTCCCTTCGTTTTGTTTTTGTTGTTTTTCTAAATTATTACTTAAATAACCCGATTCATTTGGTCTTAAATATCGAATTTTAATTTATTTGCTTCTGATACAACTATAGGCAATTGAGAATAACAAGCTGTTCATATTGGATCATCACGATGCACTAATGCCATACCTGACACGGATAAACTCAACCACCACGAAGACCTATGCCAGTAGAACACTTCTCTTGCTGCAAGATGACGGAACATTGAAGCCATTGGCAATCGAGTTGAGCCTACCACATCCACAAGGTGAACAACATGGTGCCAAAAGCCAAGTCTTCACTCCAGCAGACCTCGGCATTGAAGGTGCCGTTTGGCAACTGGCTAAAGCTTACGCTGCAGTAAGTGATTCTGGTTACCATCAGCTCATTAGCCACTGGTATGATTCCATCCACAAAATGGGTAAATAGAAATAACTTTTTATAGTTTGGAGGAATGTGTACCTGAAAGCTTATGATTCCCGGTACAGGTTGAACACGCATGCAGTAATTGAGCCATTTGTCATTGCAACGCATAGACAATTAAGCGTGCTTCACCCAATACATAAGCTCTTGCATCCCCATTTCCGCGATACTATGTATATAAACGCCTTGGCTCGACAGATCCTCATCAATGCTGGTGGGGTGCTTGAGAGAACTGTCTTTCCAGCTAGATATGCAATGGAAATGTCTTCTGTAATTTACAAGGGCTGGAATTTCACTGAGCAGGGACTTCCAGCTGATCTGCTTAAAAGGTCAGTCACAGCGCTTTAAACAAAAATTAGTGTCAAAATCTTTGATGTGTGTCGTAAATTTGAATATTTGTTTCCTTTGGCTTTGTTGCAGAGGAGTGGCAGTTGAAGACTCAAGCCAACCATATGGCCTGAAACTTCTGATAGAGGATTACCCCTATGCTGTTGATGGACTTGAAATCTGGTTCGCAATTGAAACATGGGTTCGTGAATATTGCAACTTTTTACTACTCCACGGATGAGTTAGTTCGAGGTGACTCCGAACTCCAGTCTTGGTGGATAGAGCTCCGGAATAAGGGCCATGGTGACAAGAAAGACGAGCCATGGTGGCCAAAGATGCAGACACGAGATGACGTCATCAAAACATGCACCATTGTTATATGGGTGGCTTCTGCCCTCCACGCAGCTGTCAATTTTGGCCAATACCCTTACGCTGGCTATCTTCCTAACCGCCCAACTGTGAGCCGCCGGTTCATGCCAGAGCCTGGGACTTCTGAGTATAGTGAGCTTGAAACAAACCCTGAGTTAGCCTACCTGAAAACAATAACAGCCCAGTTCCAAACCCTCCTCGGCGTGTCACTGATAGAGATATTGTCCAGGCATTCTGCAGATGAGGTTTATTTGGGACAGAGGGAAACTCAGGATTGGACTGCGGATACCCAACCTCTAGATGCATTTGCAAGATTTGGGAGCAAGCTGGAGCAAATAGAGAAAAGAATAATGGACCGGAACAACGATTACAAGAGATACAAAAACCGGTTTGGGCCCGTCAAAGTGCCTTATACCTTGCTCTATCCTAACACCTCGGATTACACCAGAACTAGTGGACTTACAGGGAAGGGAATTCCCAACAGTATCTCAATCTAGAAACTCTTGAAGTAATTAATTCGTAAACGAGTGTTTTTGTAGCTACTCATTTTGCTAGTATGTATGTTCTCTAGAAATCAACTCTCGAGCCACTTCAGTAAAAATTGGCTTTTGTAATATCGATTTTTCTTGGTTTTTGAAGGCCAGTATATATATGCAGATTATTCTCAATGTTCCCATTATACCTACATGATATTGATAACAATCGTCTGTGCATATTCTGCATATCTTCAAAACAAGCTTGTGCAGAATCAGAATCAAATATTTTCTTTGATGGAATATGATCATTTGTTCAAATATGAAAAAGAATAGGAAAAAGTTAGAGTTCATGAAAATTTTGTCATGAAAATGATCATGAAAAATTTATGATCCTTGGATTACCTTGATTAGTATGTGATGTTTCATTCTAAATGTAATCCAAGAGTCACGAAACTTTCATGATTATTTTCATGAAAGGTTTTTCATGATACCTAGCATTGCTGAAAAGAATATAACAAAATTATTTTGAGGGTAAGAAATGCATGAATTGAAAGTAACATTCACAATCTGAAAAGATGTGAATAGTGTGTAACTCATTCATAGCATGATTTATCACATTGAAGACATGGAATTTATTGAAGACACTTTATCATTTTTCCTTTTGAAACTCCAAAGCCTATACTTGTCCTTTTAATGTAGTCAGGAAAGCCTACAAAACTACCAAATCGCTTCCAATTGAGATTTGAAACAAGACACAAGCTTATAAGATCATGAAAGAGCACAGAACAGAAATCTCAGACACTAAGCACTTTATTGATTAAATAAATTGAAACCCAGATTATTAGATGGATTAAGTTAAACAAAATGGATGATTTCTTCAAGACTCACAAAAGGGATCACGGCGATTTAGCGAAAAGAGCAGAATACCAGCATTGAAAAAAACCAAAAATTGATGACAAGTGGAGAAAGAAATGTGAAGGCAGAAGACTAACCTCTGTGGAATTGGAAGCTAAAGCAAAATTTGTGAATGTCCCTGGGACTAATAAAGCAGCACGCGTTCCCAGGTATCAACAGCGAATGTTTTTAAGGTGGGAGGGACACATGGCAAGTGCAACCAAATTCCGCGGATTCGGCTCCTCTGCAGCGGTGGTTCGTCCAGCAGTTTCAACAAGATCACGACGCGTGGCGAATAAGCGATCCAACGAAGGTAATACGACGCTGTTCTTGCGTAATGAAAACGCAGAAACGGACCAATTCCCATACTCCAAGGAGTAAAGATCCTCTAGAGTGATTTTTTTCTAAACTTTTCTAGAGTGTTACGTTGTGTGGTTGAGATTTACTGATAAGTCACATTAATTTTTATGATGTGACTTGCCAGTAAATCTCAACCACACAATGTAACACTGTAGGAAACTTTAGAAAAATTTCACTCTAGAGGATCCTTGGTGCACTCCAAGGGCAACAGATCCCGTACCGCTGCCTTTTTTTGTAATTCGATACGACGCCGTCTAATTTGACAAATGCTTATTTTATTTTATTTTATTTTTTTAAAGATTATTTTTAGAAAAAATTACTTATCAGTGGCACTAGTAATAGAGGGTGAAACACCAATAAATCTTAAATTGTGATTTTATAAATTATTTATTTTTTAATTTTTTTTTATGAATCTAAAGGTCTTGTGAAAGTGAAAATTATACAAATGATAGTCACTTACATATTTGAGGTTAATTTTGTAAGGATAAAAATGAATTTCTCTAAATATAAAATTACACAATTTGACAATTCATATTATAAAAGTTTTGGATTTTCTCTCCAAGAACAAATCCCACATTAAGAAAAATATGTAACACTCTAATAACGTAACATTCTAATGTAACATTCAATGTAAAATACTAAAAAACTCTTTGATGTATTTTTTCCCAATGTAATAACGAAACACTAAAAAAAACTCATTAATGTACTTTTTTCAAACGTAATACTCCAATGTAACACACAAAAAAACTACTATTCATATTATAAAAGTTTTGGATTTTCTCTCCAAGAACAAATCCCACATTAAGAAAAATATGGAACACTCTAATAACGTAACATTCTAATGTAACATTCAATGTAAAATACTAAAAAACTCTTTGATGTATTTTTTCCCAATGTAATAACGAAACACTAAAAAAAACTCATTAATGTACTTTTTTCAAACGTAATACTCCAATGTAACACACAAAAAAACTTGTTATGCTGTCACGACCCGCTCCTCGTACCCAAGGGTTAAGCATTATGATGGCCAGTAACTGAAGTTACCTCCGGCTAATTCTTGAACAAATTAATAAACGCGAGCGGAAGTAATATTTAAGTAAGGGTACCAAAATAATCATCGAAACTTCTATTTTTATTACAAAATTTATTGACAAAAAAGACTGATATTTACATATAAGAATATCATAAAAGTATTGTGTGTGTCTATTCCGCAGCCCCGCGTCTAAGACTTTTCAAAAGCTATTTCTAAATTGCATTGTCTCCTAAAATTTGGTAAACAACTATAAGCACATGGCAGAATGAGAAATATTATGCCAAGCGTATAAGGGACACAAAATAACCATGGATAGTTATGTAACTAAAATATTTAAAATAACTTGGTCCGAACAAATAACCATTTAAGTGGCAAAAGTGAGATTATATAAATAAATAACCATAATCACGATACAGAACATAACATAACAGTTGCATGGACTCAAGAGGTGACTCATACGAACTTTAAAGATGGCTCCCACAATAGTGTAACACTTAGCTCCGTATAGCACTTTGCTCCATACCAGAAATCAAAAGGTCAATGGATCCATGACAATAGAGGCCCACAAAGTGACCAAACAGAGGCTAATGATTATTTAAATCCCCCATAGCGTGGGAATCCCGTGGTAGTACTTACAAAATATATTTGTTTATAAGGTTATATTCAAATAATCATTAAAAGTTAAATAAACATATCAATGAGTTTCATTTTAACAAATAGAGTTCAGAAATTAATTCACGTAATTGAAATATAAATATAGTTTATAATAATTTATAAAACATAACTTGTATAAAATAAATATGGTAAGTCAAAATATACATAAAATATATTATAATAACTCAAAATATAATACAATTCACCTTAATATTAACCTTTATTATTTCCTTTTTATTTTTACTACTTTCTCACAAATGTTCATTCGCTCTCCTTCTCCTTCTATTTCCTTTTCTTTTCTTCTGTTTTTCTTCCTCTCTCTTTTTTCCTTTCCTTCCCCCCCAGATTTTGGATCCACTCCTCCCTATTTATAGGGAGATAAAGGCGTCATCAGGCCAACACGTGGCCAGGTCGACTCCCTTTCAAAATTTGATAATAAATTACATAGATTTATATTTATTTTTAATAAATATTTAAAATAATTACACTTTAATCCAATTTTCTAATATAACTATATAAATAAATTAATTCCTAATTAAGTTACACTCTATCATATACCAACAGAAAATTATTTATTTATTTTACTATCACACTCATTATTATTATTATTATTGTTGTTGTTGTTGTTATTGTTATTAATATTATTATTTACTCTTACTTTTATATTTATTTATTTACTATCTTTAACTTTAATTTGTCCCAACTAATATTATAATTTCATATTTTTATTAATTTGACCTTGAACAATAATCCTTAATTAATCCCATAATTAATAATCCAATGTCAAATTAGATTATGTATTTATTATTATTTATTTAATAATATATCATCACATATAACCATAATACTAGTATAAAATTTAAGGGACAACTTAAATTTTTGGATTGTTACATATGCTGTGTTTGGTTGGGAGATTTCAGGAGGGATTTGGAAAAAGAAATGGAAAAGGTAGGTGAAATGTGAATAAAATATACCTATATTTCACATAATTTCACACATCTTTTCCTTTTGCCTTTCCAAATCCTTTCCCAAACCCCCCAATCAATCACAACATTAGTGTATTTTTTTTTCCAAACGTAACACTCCAATTAATGTAACACGAAAAAAACTTCTTAGTGTATTTTTTCAAACAAAACACTCCAATCAATATAATCTCAAACGTAACACTGCAATGTAACACACAAATACTAAAAAAATCTTTAATGTAATTTTTCTAAATGTAACACTCAAAATTTGAAATTATACATTTGCTCAAAACTTACTAAGGAATTTTTGTACTCCTTTTGAAATGGTTTGAAAAATCCCACATCCTTTTGGAATGGTTTGAAAAACCCCATATTTTTTTTGGGAGTATTACATTTAAAAAAAGTACACCAATAAGTTTTTTAGTGTGTTACATTAGAATGTTACATTGACAAATTTTTTGGAATATTATATTAGAGTGTTAGTGTATTTTTTTTCCAAACGTAACTGTAGACGTCCCCGAACGTCCCGGGAGGGAAATCCCCCCCGTTTTGTTCGTTGGGCTCACTACAGTTCAGGACTCAATGTCACGGTCCTGTATCTAATCTCGCAGAGTGCAATGCAAGACCAATAAATCATCAAAGAGTCCAAATCCGACAAATCGTTTTTTAAAACAGATTTTTTTTGAAAGAAGTGCCAAACATGGACTACTTTGCCAGATACAGAGTCGCCACCTAAATATTTTATTTTGAAAAATTTAGAAAACCCTGACTCGTTGCCTAAGGCTACGTGTCCGTCATCACCAAAGTTGCCTCGGCTCGGGAACTTGGGTACGATTGGGGAAGGTCACTTTGTGAGCACCCCCACTCGCCCGATCAAAGATCGGCCTCTACTAACCATGATATCTAGTTTTGAAAATATTATGTGCTCTTATTTCGGTTATTAGCCTAGATTTATTATGTGATGCGCACAACATACAAATATAGACCGGATCGCCTGAATTGGAACAACACATCTCATGTTTGTTTTGAAAATGGTTTGCTACTCGCAAGTAGGCTTAAAATGCAGATTTTGCCACCCTCGGGTGGGCTTAGAAAACAAGATGATTTGCCACTCTTAAGTGGGCTTAAAACTCACAATTGATGAATTGTTCCAATCCAAATAACCCAACCTTCACCCACAGGCATTCAGAAAGGTATACCACGTAAGCACGTAGCCTCATGGTAAGCATGCTATCATGGCAGTCACTCACACACATGCAAGGATGCTAAAGCATAAACACTTACCGAGTACT